CCAGCTTGGGGGCTTAATTTGTCATATGTTGCTACATTCAATTCATTTCATGTGGAATATTGCACGAAGTGGGCAGAAAAAACTACTCCTAGATGAAATGACAACTAAAATGACTGATCGACTCCGGCAGTGAAAGGGGCTCAGCCGACTGACTAAATGCCTAAATACCCAAAACAGCAAACGGAAACAAGGACAGGCACCAGAACCAGAGCCAGGACACGCAACAACAGGCAGGAGGCATCTCCGAGCCCAGAGAATGGAAAACAATTTGCTGGCTACATTTTGGGCTCTTTGTGGCATCCACTTTTCCAATGCTTTTCCTAATCCAATCCTCCGCCTTCGTTTGCCTTGTTTGCCTTGTTTGCTGCTGTATTTGTTGTGCCAGTGGCCCCCGAATCAAAACCAAAGCCGCTTGATGGATTACAACCAAAAGGCGGCAGCACCAGTTCCTGGAGCCATTGTAAGGCGTGGCCAAGGTGAGTAGGAGCGGGAGAGGCAGCTGCACGATTAGGCCTTTGTTTGGGTATATGTCGAATTTCTAAGGCCACACCCAATCCACTGCTTCGTCAGCCTTTGTATCTGCGGCCAGAGTGATTTGTGTGCCCCGTGGGGTATCGGAAAGTACGTTTAATGAAGTGAAGGGTTAAATTTGCTGGTGGCTTGAGGCCGAATAGAAGCGGCTTAGGCATACCCACACAAAAGGGCTTCGTTCTATGCGCAAAACGCAATTGAAGAAAGTGTCGATTGCTGTTTGGAGAGGGTTTTAAGCTGAAGGCTAAATGACTTTCACTGACCTTCACACACCCACACACAGATTCACTTCCGCACTTCCGCATATACATATGCATTTGGTGGACGGGCAACAAAATCATTTATCATATAAAATGGCCGCAGCACATTTCTCTCAAGTGGCGTATGTGATTGCGCCAAAAGTCGTGTCAGACTTCTGACCGGTCCCAGCACCGGACCCATGCTCTTCCGTCCAAGCCCCTCCTAGATGCCCATAAATCTGGGCTGGTGGGCTGGGCCAAAGTTGCGGATATGGGAAACGGCAGACGGCAAACGGCGAACGGCAATGGCAACCATTTGTCTAATTTTAATGGGCATGCTAATAGAGCCATTGCCTGGTCAGCCGGCACACCTGACCCTGACCCCGAGTCCGTTGGGAAACATCGGTCAGGCCGGGTCCCGTACTAGTCGACTTTTAATTTATGTGCGGCCAAAAGTTTTTGGCTCATTAAATACCTCAAAATGTTAAATGACTTACGAGCTCCAGCAGAAAGATGAAGATGCCGCTGTCGCTGCCGCTGCCGAGACGATTGACTTGGCCCGTGTGGAACGTGCCCCGTCTCCGGGTCCCATCTAGTGCATCATTTACCGAATTGCCGTTACGTGCCGCATTATCGGCCACAAAAAATCTCGGCCAGACAGAAGACTTTCCAGCTTGTTGTCTGCCAACCGACTCGGCTATTGATGGGGTCGAGTTTAAGGCCCAGACGGCCCGGCCATATTTGCCTTTGGCTTTTTTTAATGAGCCTTCGTTTGTTTGGGTTGGCTGTATGAGGGATCTCTCTTCCTCTCTCGTGACTTGAACTTGTTTCCTTGTAATTTTTTAGTATGACCGAAGACATTACTCAAAAGAGGCTGGCGCCTGAAAGCAGGCAACGAAAAATGATGGAATTTCATCTTTCCACAATTGATACAAAATGAAAAGGAGATAAGATCACGCACGATTCTAAGACGTCAATTACCAAAAATGATTAGATAACGATTAATCAATATGACTATTGTACCTGCATCTCACTTTCTGACTAATTAAACCATAATATTCCAGCTGGAAACACTCGCCAACAATTATAAGTACCGCACTGAGTGGGAAATTAGCTGCCAAAGAACCACACCACACCACACCCTTTTCATCCGCTCATATGCATTTTAATTTATTTATCACACCTGAACGAACACACAAAAACCTCGCACAAAGTAGTTGTAGGGGCGTTTATTTAGCAATGTAAAGAGTGGGGCCAAGCACACACGCACACACACAGATACGTATACGTGTGCTTACGGCAAATTTAATTTTAAAAAGCAAACCCAAAAATACATGCTCTGAACCTGAATCAGCGGGAAATGACCGCAAACACGGCGGGGAAAAGCTGCACCAGTCGCCAGTCTGTAGTCCCACAGAACCTGCACCGCGCCGCACCACACCTGCCTCTGGTCTGCCCCATGCAACCTCAACGAGCTGTATATCTAATTGTATGTGCCTTGTGTGGCCAAAACTGTGAGTATGCTGATGATGTTTATACCCTTATTATTATTACTATTCTTTTACTCAGATGTTTGCAACTGAATCGTTTCGGAACCACACAAAATATACTAAACAATAGGATACAAATAAATAGTATGGAAACCTGATCCCTATATCATAGCTATCATAGGATCGATTGATGCAAAAGGGTATTTAAAGACCCGACTCCCAAATACTTAATAGCCCTCTTTCTTGTATTGTGCATGTTGGTGCTCCTGTTGCACCTCTCTCGGTCTGCTGCAACCCATTCAACCTGGTTGTGGGTTCGCTGGCTGCCTGTCCGTTGGTCAGTTAATGCAGTGCCGTGGCCCGACTGCAACACAAAGCAACAAAGTTTGTGTTTTATTAGTTTCTTCTGGTGCTGGAGCTCTGGCTGCTTTCGCTGCTGCTGAATTCTGCGTACCGTCCGCCACTGATTGTTGTGCTGTAAATTGCATTTGTGGTCAACAAAAAGCATTTGCCAGGCTACAACAATGGCCGAGTAGGGCCTCGGCTTTATTTGTTTCTTTTCCAGCTCCATGTTTACTTTTTTCCACTTCGATTTTCGTTCTGTGTTTCTGTTCATTTAAATTGCCATTAGGTGTGGTTTTGCTTTTCTGGCGTGGTGTGTCCATGCCGGCTCATCCTTTAATTTAGGGACTGCCACAGCATTACGGTTGCCATTAGCCGAAGCAGAAACACCTACACACATACCCACACTGGCAGCACCACATACATATGTAGGAGCAGATAGTCTCTCATTTCCGGTTGTGTCATCTTCTTGTACTAACATTTTTCAACAATTTTTGTGCAGCTTTTCTACCCATTACTTGTAGACTAGGAGGGTATATTTTATTCGTGATTCTGATGCCAGAATAAGAAAGTGGCTGTCTCCGCACGATGTCATTTGAAAGTACTTATCGAATGTGCGAATGGACTTCAGGAATAGAAATGGGGGCTAAAATGGGGACATTCTCAGGCAATAGCACCAATCAGCACTTTCTGATGAGCGGAATATTTAATATTTGGTTCGTACCCATTCGCATACCTTGTATACAACAAAAATTTCTTAAAAATCGGTAGAGCTCTTTCGCACGTGGAGTTCTACCACAATCAACCGTTACACGAGGTTTTCATTAGATTTATAAATCATAGAAATATTACAGCTCAAATGTATACAATTTCTATGCTTTGACTTTGACTTTTCTTTTACACTTTTCCTGAAAGTGTTCATTATATGGTCGGTATCTTTTAGGCGATCCTTGAGTTCTTGACACTTGCTGGTCCGATTGTTTTATATGTTTTTTGGACTAAATATTCAACACTTTCTTCTATCTCACACACATCCTTCTCTATCTATCTCTTTTCTCACTCTTTTTCTCTCTCTCTGCTATAGCTGTTTCTTTTCCTCTTTCTCACTTAGTTTTTCCTCTCAGGTTGCTCACTTTGGTTTTATTTCCATGTTTTTTGTTGCTGCATAAACTCGGAAGGGGAGGGGAGGTTTGTTTTTAATTAAAACAACAATGCAATGCCAGTGCCACACTTCCGTCCGTCCGGTCGTCCGCTCTAACCTGTCCCGCCACTCCCCTCTTCCACCAGCCGGGCACACACACATGCATACGTACACATATTATTTCCCTGGCTGACTGACTTGTTGCTGTTGTTTCTGCTGTGGCTGTGCTTTTGCGCTTACAATTTCATTTTGTTGGTCTCTCTTTCCCTCCGACCATGTGTTGTTTCTTTCTCTTTTTCTCTTTTTCTCTTTTTCTCTACCCCCTGCCTGCTGCCCTCTGCCATCTCTGGCATCTGCCCTCTGGCCGGCGGAGCTTTGTTTTCGCCTTTTGCTTGTGTGTTGCTTGTGTGTGCTTTGTGTGAAAAGTGATAAGTGAAATATGCTTTTTCAGCTGAATTTTCAATTTAGTCGTTCAATGCAATTCCAATTGGATATTGCCAATGGCCAAGTAACAAGCCAGCCAACTCCTCTGCGGACCGAAAGAGTGCGACAGACATGGGAATACGTTTAATGCAAATGGAAACAAAAAGTGCATAAACTCGGACAGACGGCCCTCCGTTCCGACGGAACTCTCGCATAATTGACACTCAAATAAAATGAATTCCAAAAGCATTGTGTACCTTCATAACATGACATCAGATTATGGCGTGTGGTGGGTGGTGTGGGGGGGTGGATGCCATGTGCCATACGGCTATGTAGGCCACTTCCACTCGGCGGGGTTCGCTGAACTTGTTAACTAATTTCGAATGCAATTCGCGACGTGGACGTGGCCACCACACCACTTGACAGCCACTTGACACTATCTAGTTGAACAAATGAACCCTTTTCCCCTGTGGCACATGCAGCTGCAACATGCTTAATGCCTTTGTGGGCGTGCCGTGCCACACACAAGTCCCTCTTGAATCCAGCTGGAGGACACAAATGATGCGGGAAAAGTGCATTTGTAGATAATCTAAGGAAGTGGCCAGTCATTCACTATAATTTGGGTTGGGTTGAGGTTGATGTTGGAGTTCATAGTTCGTTGGGGTTAACCTCTGAGCATGCTCTGGTCATGTCGATAAATCCATGCCAACCTAGTAGACAGCATTTAAATGTACGCCGTTCGGGCTACAGATATTTGGATGTGGAAAATCAAATTTCAGTTAGTAAAAATTGTAATCTAGGAACAGTAAAAATATAAATTTTAGTGTGAATTAATTGAATTAAATTCTCAGCGGAGTAGTAAATATGTCACACAAGAAAATACTGTTTGTATGTATGGGTAAGCATCGTCCATCATCATCACCATACATTTTTACGATTGCCCCCTAATCCTGTGGAATGGCTAGGCAACATATGCAGCTCGCCCATGGCCGAGGCGATCATGCAGAGCCTGATGGTCAAGACGAGCATCTACTGGGAGGTGGACAGTGCCGGACTGCGGTCCTGGAACATTGGGCGCCGGCCCCACGCGCGCTGCCTGCGAACTCTGCGCGAGCACGGACTCCGATCAGATCACTTCTGTCGCCAGTTCACCGTCCAGGACTTTCGTTACTTCGACTACATTGTGGCCATGGACGACGCTGTGTATAAGGAGCTGCTGCTCTGGTCCAATCTCTATCGCTCGACCAAGGATTGCTTGGTGCTTCGGCTGAGCTCCTTCGGGCCGGATGGCCAGCCGACCGCCATCAATGAACTGTCACCGGTGGGTCCGTCCTTGACGGGTCACTTCAACTGAATCCTAATTGCGGTTTCTCCTCCATTTCCAGACGTACAAGCTGAGGAGCTTTCGGGCCGCCTACTACCAGATCAAGGATTGCTGCAAGTATTTCATACTCAGCCAAAAGATAAGCATAGTGCGGTACCAGCTGCCCAGCTCAGAGGAGGACTACGACTACTCAGAAGCCGAGCCCGAGAAGACTATGGAAACAGGGCAACCTAGCACTGAGAAAAAGACTCGGAAGAACCCTAAGCCGGATCCGATTAAGTCAGACCAGAATTTGATGTCGGATACCCTGGACCTGGCCACAAACGCCTTCTTGTCAGGAGTTTATACAAAGGTCTTAGCCACGCCAGCGCCCAAGTACCACGAACACACATCCAACTGCCGCCAAAGGAAACTGTGCCTCCAATGCGGAAAGAAATTCTTGGACTCGCTCTAGAACATGATTGAAACATTGATTTTATTCCACCCCAAATCGATGCCGAGACCTTGTAAAATAAAAATGACTTTTATCTGTCAGTTGGACAGCATTTATTAGCATTAAGACCCCATTTGATAGCTAGCTAATTGGCTTAGAAACCAGCTATAAAGGTTCCCCGGCCCAGCCGTGGCTCAGCTACAGTTCGATGCGCATCGGAATCGGGTGACGGAGCATGGAGCGCAGTCTGTTGCCAGAGCCGCCGTTGGCCACGGCACTCTTGGGGCCCAGGTTCGAGGCCCAAACAGGAGGCAATCGTTCCGTGCTGGACAACGTAAGTAGGGGGGGGGCCAAGGATTAGGGAAGGGATATGTGCTAATCGCAATTCATGGCTCGCAGGTACTGCCCGACATGGCGCCTCTGGTCAATCCGTACTGGAGTCGCTTCGCCCCCATGGATCCCACAATGAGCAAGATCCTCGGCCTGTTCACGCTCGTCATTCTAATCATCTCCTGCTGCGGCAATGGCGTGGTGGTCTACATCTTTGGCGGCACCAAGTCGCTGCGCACGCCGGCCAACCTGCTCGTCCTCAACCTGGCCTTCTCCGACTTCTGCATGATGGCTTCGCAGTCGCCGGTGATGATCATCAATTTTTACTACGAGACGTGGGTGCTGGGGCCACTGTGGTGCGACATTTATGCGGCCTGCGGCTCCCTGTTCGGCTGTGTGTCCATCTGGTCCATGTGCATGATCGCCTTCGATCGCTACAACGTGATCGTGAAGGGCATCAACGGCACGCCCATGACCATCAAGACGTCCATTATGAAGATTGCGTTCATTTGGATGATGGCTGTGTTCTGGACGATCATGCCGCTAATCGGCTGGAGCAGCTATGTGCCCGAGGGCAACCTGACTGCCTGCAGCATCGACTACATGACGCGACAGTGGAATCCGCGCTCCTACCTCATCACCTACTCCTTGTTCGTCTACTACACGCCGCTCTTCATGATCTGCTACTCCTACTGGTTCATCATCGCCACCGTGGCCGCCCACGAGAAGGCCATGCGGGATCAGGCGAAGAAGATGAATGTCAAGTCGCTGCGCAGCTCCGAGGACTGCGACAAGAGCGCCGAAAACAAGCTGGCCAAGGTTGCCCTGACGACCATATCGCTGTGGTTTATGGCTTGGACCCCCTACCTCATCATCTGCTATTTTGGACTCTTCAAAATCGATGGTCTAACCCCCCTCACCACCATCTGGGGTGCCACCTTTGCCAAGACGAGCGCCGTCTACAACCCCATCGTGTATGGCATCAGGTGAGCTGCGTCAGTGTGCCCATGTCGGGGCCAGTCTAATGCAGTTTTTAATTCGCCCTCAGTCACCCCAAGTACCGCCTGGTGCTCAAGGAGAAGGTAAGTCGCCATCAACTGCGAGTGTATTCAATCTCTTTAAGCGCATCTTCTTCGTCTGCCAGTGTCCCATGTGTGTGTGCGGCAGCACGGATGAGCCCAAGCCGGATGCGCCCCCATCCGATACGGAAACCACATCCGAGGCAGAGTCAAAGGCTTGAGCTGGGGGAATATATTCGTATCTACGCAATTGCCTTCAAGAGGCACAAAAATATCAAAAAAAAAAAACATTAAATGCAACCATCATAAAAATGATGTAAAAAATGTAAAAAAAAAAAGAATGGCACTAAACCTGACGGAATATTGAACTTTATGAGACAGAGGATTCCCATGTCAGCAGCAGTCGCCTCATCTGTGTGTCGTCGCTCATTACGCTCATGTCAAGGACAGACCAGCACACCATTCCGGTATATGCATCTATCAAGCCATACCACTCCCCATTCCCACTCCCAGTACCATTCCCAGTCCCAGGGCTCTCCTGCAGATTCATCTTCATTGACACACATTTGCAGCCAAATGTCGCCTTTGCTAGGTGCGGGCTTTGTCTCGTATCTAATGATTATAATTACGAAACAGCTGCCACACCCATTCCAATATCCCTGCTACCCATTAGCCCCCCATCCCGCTTATTTGCCTAATGAGCACTAGAAACACAGAGGCAGACAGGCACTGCACTCTACATTTAAGCCAGCACAGCAGCACACACCAATAAGGCCAACTACCAGCCAGTCAGCGATTTGGCCAAAGTTCATCTTCTTTGACAGATTATCCAAAGTGGAGGGGAAAAACCATTCTCGAAAACCATTCAAGAATACACCTGAGTACACATACCAGTATGCAACCAAAGACTTCTATTCCAAACACTAGATGCCCATATCGGATATTAATATATACTACATATCAATTATATTGATCTTTATTGAATATTAAATCGTGAAAATCTTCTGGATTTATGTTACCAGAACAAACCGATACGCGATGCCCCAGAGCTGGCGCCATAGATGGCCCATTGTTGTCCAGCCACGCGATCCAACGAGGCGTAAGCACCTGCTGCCAAGGCATTGACACAGACCTTGTGTTGGGCAATATTCCGGCTGGCTAACAGCTCGGCATTGCAGTGAGTCAATCCCAGGTCGAACGTGTCCGCCACTTCCCTGCCCTCAGCCTGGGCCGAAGCAGTATTTGGAAGCTTCTCCTCAATAATCATCCGTATATTTATGCCCGTATCTTTGGCCCATTGAAGGGAATAGTTTATAGCTGGATCTTGGCCAAGAGTCTGTCCCAACTGCGATGGAAAGAATCGGGCTCAGGAAACTCAATGTGGAATTCGAATTGTATTATTAAAACGTACCAGGAGCGCCAAGAAGCAGAACACGATCAGCGATGCACTCGACATTTTCCGTAAACCTTCGCTGGCCAACTGAGCCACATTCTCCGTGATTCCGTTGGTATCTCAGCTTATTGTGTGTTTGCCTTGATAGTGTTTACAGCCTCCATTATCTGTGGGCCGCATCGCAACCACTACTGATAGCCTCAACCTCATTATGTTTTATGCTAACCATATTTCTTGGGAGGAGATCAGATAACTGTTGCTTATCTGCAGCCAACGGAAGTGGCACTCGGGGATCAAACAACAGTAGCAAGTGTGGCATAGAGTGCGAACAGCAAATACAGGACGGACCTTTGGGGGATGATTCATTATTCGATTTCGGTGTAGTCGAAAGTATTTCCTAAATTTCTATCCCAAATTACACCCGTTCCCGCCGAACTAACGAACTCTGACAGAAGCCACAGCCGCAAAAAATTGTTCGCCTATTTGGGGGGGTCGGTCGGTCGGTCGGTCGGTCGTCCAACTTTTGCATCAAAACAAAAGCCACAAGCCCATAACAAATTTACATATATGCACTTTTAGAGTGTTCTGTTCCCCTCCCAGCCCCTTCTGTTTTTGGTAACCGATTTTGGCATATATATTTAGTTGGGCAGCCCGAATGCGGCTGGATTTTATTTTGTACTCTGGATTTTCATTTTTTTACTGCTGCGTGAATTTCAAATGCCACAACTTTAGCATTACCAAACCGGGTTGGCACTGGGATGGGTTCAGTTTTGAGTTTCAGTTTTTGGGAGATTGGAAGTTGGGAGTGGTGCAGGGATGCTAAAGGGCGGGGTCTCGCGGCCAACACTACACGAAACTTTGCAGAGTTCGGTGGCTGTTCGTGCTTCTGTTTCTGTTTCTGTTGCTGTTGCTGTAATGACAACAGCAAGAAAGACTCAAGTTTCAATCTAGAAATATTTCAATTAAGTGGCCCAAAACTTTGCACTCGCCCCAGATCCCCTACTAATGCGCCCTGCCATCGCTGTCAGTCCTGTGTTGTGTATGTGGCATCCACAGGCAGCGGCTAGCGGGGCTTGTTTGAAATTTACATTTAATTACATATTTGAATTTGAAATTAAATCCCTCCAACCTCTGTCTTTTGGCTGCTGTCCACTGCGGGTTTTGTCCATTCTCTTTCGGCTTATCGATCTTCCTGCATCCTGCCAGTTGGCCGGTCATTTGCGGCCAGTCTTTGGCTCGTTAAGCCAAGCCATTTAGGAGCCGGAGCCCTGGTGGGTCGTCGAGGTCCTGGAATTCATATGCAAATGCCATAACAAATCGAATTGAATCGAGTACGGTTGGGCTGGGGAGCGAAAGGCGATTCGGTTGGGGACCAAGCAGGAACAACAATTGGGCAATGATAATTGAGGCAGCACTGCCTGCCGCATAAATCAGCTCTCGACTCTGTGGTCTCTCTATGGGCCGATTCATAGCCAAATCATGCACTGGAAACAATTTGGCAGGCCAAAGTCTAGCGCAAATTGATAAATGCAGAAAAGGGCTGTCACTGTACCACGCCATTGGGGCAAAAAGTGGAAGACGGAGCATCAAAAGCCGCACAAAGGATGGAAAATAAAACGGAGGCAAAGGCGGAGGACGGCGACGGCGACGGCGACGGCAACGGAATTCAAATATTTGACCAAAATGCGTCAAGTTCTTGCGCTGCCTGCTCAATGGCCCAAACCCAAAGACCCAAACTTGGCGACTCAAGTATGCGCCACAGCATTAACAGCCCCGAGGGCGCCAATCATGGGGAATGGGTCATGGGGCAAGGAGCAGAACCATCGGAGTCGAGGTCGTCGACAACTTATTGTGACGCGAGAAGGCAAGTCGATTCGAAGGCAAACGGGAAAGCAGCATCAAGTTTTGTAATTCCTGAATGGAAATTTAATAAAGCGAAGAATGCCAAGTCCGACCGGCCACATCAAAGCATCTCCTGGTCTAGGTCAAGAGCGCCACTGCCCCTGCCACTGCCTCTTCCCATCCTCCCATAACCCAAGAACTAAGAGAAAGAATTCCAGCATTGAGCTTATTTGAATGTTATTGCAACTATGTTGGTCGATTGCCCTCGTCTATAGATTAAATAAGGTATTAAATACTGGAATAGAAGTGCAGTTGGCTCCTAGGCTGTGGCTGGTGCAGCAGGGCTGGCGGCGGCCGTTTGGCGGGCCTGCCACTCGTCATCGATCAGCTTGAGCTCGTTCTTAGCGCTGGTCAGCAGGGGCTTGACGCAACGGATCTGCAGCCAGGGCAGGGTGGCAGTGGTGCTGCAGCCGGCGATCGTCTCCTGGGAGTTGGCCACCACATCCTGGACACGCTCGGCCAGATCGGTGGGGAAGTTCGGCTGGCTGAGCAGACGCTCGGCCTCCCGCTGCAGCACCACAGACTGGAAGAACGATGAGATGGAGGCACCACCAAAGGGCGGAGTTGGAGCAACTGGAGCTCCAGCTCCTCCTGCACCTGCACCTGCACCACCGAAAAGTCCGTTCAGAAATGGATTGAAGGCGGCCGCATAGGGATTGGCTGCCGCGAAGGGATTGATGGCAATGCCGCCGCCGCCAGATGGTGCAGCCTATGTAAGTAGGAGGAAAGTATTGTTGTTAAATTATCCGCCGGAATCGGAATTATCTCCCGTAAGTCCAATCCTCACCTGGCTGTTAGCGCAGGCAATGCTGGCCAAAAGTAGAACAATTGCGAATTTCATTTTCTTCTGAGTGGGGGCTCAGTCGTTTGGGTTTCGGAGAGACTAATGCTTCAGTGGACTGTGGAAGGGGCTTTTATACACAATTAAAAACAAGATGCGATAGTCGTATCTCTACCATATCTACGTGGCTACCGCGATTGAACTGATTTACATGTTCATTGTTTGTTTGGTTGAGCCCCCCATACGGGGGTTATCTTCATAGATAAAAAGTGGGAAACAAGAATGTTGTAAAAGTGCCGCCTCATGCGATGACGTCATGGCTTTTATTAATATTAACTTAGATAAATATCTTTAATTTAATTGCATTTTTCAATTAGTTTCTGTTAAGGATTTGCGCGGGAAAATGTTACATTGATCAATGTTACAGGCTCTGTTAATAAGTTAACAGTTTTCCATTAACAGTCTGCTGGAGATACCGCCAATATTTGAATATAAAAGTTATGTTATTGGGATACATATTATATTCCTGAAATCATTTTTGGTGGGGCTTCCTATTTGGGCAACGCTTCTGTCTTGGCTCCTTGGCGTTTTCCTTGGACTCGTTCTGCTCCTGGGCCTCCAACAAATGTTCAACCGTCTCAGCGATGAAATACGGCAAGTACTGATCCTGTGGGAAGATACATGAAAAGCTGGCCGAAGCCAAAGCTGGCTGTTCTCGAAGGGTATTACCTGCTCGAACCGTGACTTCTCGAGAGAAGTGAGGGTCTGCCAGGTCTCGAGGGCATTATTTACCAGCTCCTGAGGAGTCCAATCATAGTCAATGCAGGCGTGCCGGAACTCCCGCAGGAAATTGAATGGAGCATAACGAGTAATGAACACGTCGCCGCAAGTGCAGTAATTGGATTCGATTGTTTTTTCCATGATCAAAAATAGGCGGATCAAACAAAATTATATCCTAAAATCTAAGATACATTTGTAGAATTTTTTGTATTCGATGTTGATTTTAGGAGGTGCCCTTAGAAACTGAGCAACTTAGAATAAATGAAAAATTAAACATAAAAAATTGATGGGGAAATCAAAGGATACTTGGTAATCTAATTTTATTTTTTTTCGCGGTTTTAATAGCCTGTCATGGACGACGCTGCATCTCTCTACTAGTGTGGATTAGTACTTAAGGTTAGACTTTTATTTTCGTAGGACAGCCAACGATACACCAAATTGAGCCCAAAAGAAGCAGCAGAAAACCAAGGGAGCAGCCAAGGCCAAACCAATTTCCTAACAGAGCTATATTGTACATACATATATGCGTATATGTAGTTTTTCGGCAGTTAATTCATTTTAAATAGTGAAATTGCTAACATAAGGTAGAAACGTTGTTATTGTAAACACATCATTCAAAAATTCGTACCCTTTCTACTAGGTGTGCTCTGTGGGCAAAGGTTATTATACGGAAATGTTAACTGAATAGCATTTAAAAATAACTCAAAGCTCACTTAAAAAAAAACACCACTTTGGCGCAACTTTCGAATCTGTTATTGTCAGTGTTGTTCAACTATGAAACTACGTAACGTAACTACATAGATATGTAGTTGACATGTGTTGCAATGTATAATCTGGATATTTTGGCATATTTTATCGATGAGATTGAATTGAATTCTTCATTCAAAAGTAAATAAACTTATTTCGTTCAATAATTTCTAATTTTTTTTATTGATTTCAGAATTTATGTCTCTTTTTACAAATATACCGTACATATACTGACGAATTCAAGTTATATTATAATTTGTGAAAGAGAGCAATTAACCCATTGTTGACCAGTGTTGAATATTCTCCACGAACATTATGAATCTTTAACAATTTTAGCGTAATTCAGGTAAAAGATATCGTGGTAATATGTTTGTAATTGTAAAGGGGAAGGATAGGATAGGATGGATCCACAAGAAGAATTTTCAAACAGTAATATATTTCGCGGTTTTAAATAGAGGGGGCTTAAGTGGGCTAAGTTCGTTTTATTCATGTACACGGTTAAGATATTGATTTTGCTTTGGTGCGGAGAGGAAAACGCGAGCCCCCCCAGTCCCCAAAAAGACAGAGGGAGAAATAGTAGTAACGACAGTCCTTCAAAAATTACGCAGCCCAAGGTTCTGCAAAAAATCGAAGCTAGGTGAATCGCATTCAGAAGCGCAGAGCAGAGCAGAGCAGCTAGAACGTGCAGTGCAGGCTAAGCGAGTGAAAGTGCTGGAGAAAAATTAGAATTCGAATTAATATTCTCTTGCCTTTGACGTTTGTGACACAGCCTCCAACCACACACACCCCCACGTACTCACACACGCGCGCAGTCGAAGAAGCACCCCCACGGAAGCACCCCCACAGCAGTAGCACCAGCAAAGGCAGAGCCACAGCCACAGCAACCGCGACTGCGACTGCGGAGACCAGCAGCAACGCTACCCAGTCAAAGCATAAAGTGACGAAAAGTGCACGCCGCGTAAGTCTTCCAAACGTTAAAAATAGAAACGCGCAGCTAACATAGCAAACGCCTCAAATTATCAATTGATATCGACATTGAAATTGAGTCTCTCGGTAAAAGCAGGCAAGTCAACTAACTCAACCAACCCGTTCACAGCAACCGCGTCGTCGTTGAAGCACAGCACAGCAGAGCAGAGCGGCGCGCAAAAGCAGCAGCAGAAGTAGCAGGCGGACAACCCAGGTCCGATCCACATTTCCATTAGCGACAAGAGGCGGGGAGAGAGAAAAGCATCAACATGGCTTTCGCTGGACTAAAGAAGCAGATCAACAAGGCGAACCAGTACATGACGGAGAAGATGGGTGGCGCCGAAGGCACCAAGCTGGACATGGACTTCATGGATATGGAGCGGAAGACGGACGTGACCGTGGAGCTGGTGGAGGAGCTGCAGCTCAAGACGAAGGAGTTCCTGCAGCCTAATCCGACGGCACGGGCGAAGATGGCCGCAGTCAAGGGCATCTCGAAGCTGTCGGGACAGGCCAAATCGAACACGTATCCACAGCCCGAGGGACTGCTGGCCGAATGTATGCTGACTTATGGTAAGAAGCTCGGCGAGGACAACAGCGTGTTTGCGCAGGCGCTCGTCGAGTTTGGCGAGTCGCTGAAACAGATGGCCGACGTCAAGTACTCGCTGGACGACAATATCAAGCAGAACTTTTTGGAGCCCCTGCATCATATGCAGATGAAAGACCTCAAGGAGGTTATGCACCATCGCAAGAAGCTGCAGGGCCGGCGCCTCGACTTCGACTGCAAGCGTCGCCGTCAGGCCAAAGATGATGAAATTCGTGGTGCCGAGGATAAGTTCGCCGAATCATTGCAATTGGCACAGGTAGGCATGTTCAATCTGTTGGAAAACGATACTGAACATGTCTCACAATTGGTGACTTTTGCTGAGGCACTATACGATTTTCACTCTCAGTGTGCCGATGTGCTACGTGGCCTGCAGGAGACGCTGCAGGAGAAACGATCCGAGGCTGAGAGCCGGCCACGCAATGAGTTTGTCCCCAAGACGCTGCTCGATCTGAACTTGGACGGCGGTGGCGGCGGCCTCATTGATGACGGCACGCCGTCCCACATTAGCTCGAGCGCCTCGCCGTTGCCCTCGCCGATGCGCTCGCCCGCAAAGTCGATGGCCGTAACACCATCACGCCAGCAGCAGCCCTGCTGCCAAGCCCTCTACGACTTCGACCCAGAAAATCCCGGAGAGCTGGGCTTCAAGGAGAACGACATAATCACGCTGCTCAATCGCGTCGACGACAATTGGTATGAAGGTGCCGTCAATGGTCGCACCGGCTACTTCCCGCAATCCTATGTACAGGTGCAGGTCCCCCTGCCCAATGGCAACTAAAGCCGACTTCCTCCCTCAACCCTATCAAATTGGCTGAAGTCGTAGATCATGGTGGAGAACAATAACCTTAATGTTGGTTTCGCCATTAGAGGCGCAAAGTTTGGCAGCACACATACATATAGTTGATTAGATGCGGGTTACTACGGTTACGATACGATTATACGGATATGTTTACGGCTTAGCTAGCTAGCATTCAGCACATTCACGTGGCCATAAACGACATTTGCATGCAGGCAGACCATATAAACCATATACGATTATCATATAAAAGAAACAAAATTTCAAATTGCGAAAATCTTACCAGTTGGCAACACAATAATTACAAAAACTCAAATGAATTACAAGTTAAATTAATATTGTACGTATAACAAACTAAATTTACAAGTGTTACAAGCGAAAGGCGATTTCCTTACGTTTTCCATTTTATTCTTCGATGTCAGCAATGTTGTTCCAACTCAATTCGAGCTCCTAATGCTAGGATCCACAATAGATGCAGGCGTATCTGCGATGTTCTACTCCACAAACAGGTACTCCGTAGAACATTACGGACAGTAAGCACTCTTGTTAATGAATTAATTAGTTACCCATACTCATAGTGCTTTCAGAGGCAGTCCCGATGATATTGTTTCCAGTTTGTCTCCCTCTTTCTTCCAACTCTTAACCAAGCCCATCGTTCGTTGTAAAACTCTCTATCCATACGCTCTCTATGCGGGGGAATCCCTTTACATTTTAAGCTAACGCTACCTATCCACATCATATACCCAAGCATATTTATTGGATACTACCCAAATACCTAACTATACCCATATTTGTGCGAAAACAATACTCCCCCAACACTATTCTATTCTATTCAATTATATTCTATTCTAAATGGCCTACGGAATACCAATACCAATACCGTTCTCGATGTTCGTTGTAAAATTGTAAGAAAAATTCAAGATTCAAGGATAAATCAAAACAAGTTTGTATCCTAACTTTTGCTCCTTTTTATGTGTGTTGTTTTTTTGTTATTTATATACATAACTATTATATATATAAATGAAATCAATATTTATTAAGCGTATTATCTACATGTATATTTATTATTATGTATTTATTATAAATTATACTGAGCAGCAACGTAATACAATATAAAACAATTAACGAGATGATAAACTAAACTAGAAGCAAAGTAAATGTAACAGAATCCTCCTAAACAATACCAACCATGCATACATATACGGATTATAGATATATATATATATTATATAACTAGTTAAACGATTTCCAGAAGGATGTTGATGTTGATAATAACTCTGTAAACGTAAACGTACACGTAAGCGAAACCAGTCAAGTCAATCGAAGCATAGCAACACTTACAAAAAAACCTACTAACTAAACGCGTTTAATAACCGCAGATATAGATCAATATATGCATAGAATATATGTATTTAAATTGAATTGAAAGATGGAACCCAGAACAGAACGAACAAACAAACAAACCACAAACAAATTAAAAATTATTAAAATAGTCTCATGTTGGCATATGTATGAACAAGCTATGCGATCTATACACACACGAATGTACATACATATTTATTGTATATGTGAATGCAAAATACATATATATACAATAATATATTTACGTATAAAGCGAAATTGAATTAAAGAATCCATGCAACTTGTGTTGATAATAAATTAGTTAAAAGGCAACAAAAAAGATTTAACAAAAATTATATGGCGAGCGAACATGAAGCACTCGCCCCGCAAATAGACAGGCAGTCAGGCCCGATAATTTCCAGGGAGGTGGATCCGTCTGTGGTGCCCCCTCCCAGTATCGGAACAAATATGTATTTTATTGATGGCAGAAGAGCAACAATAATAATTGTAATCGTGCATTTGTGTGGGCGGAAACTTAAATAATATACAATATAAAATATACACATATAATAATTACGCTAAACTGAAGAACCTAATTTATGCAAAACCAAATTAATAAAATTTAATTTTTAATGTGTCTTTCGTTCAAAGTCATAAATGAGAAAAACGCACAACACAGTTTACTCTTTGGTATTTCCATGTTGACCTTAAAACGAATGCGAGGCGAAGGCGCTTCCGCTTCTGTCCTGCCCCCATTCCACCCCAGCCCAGCCCAGACCAGCCCCGACCCCCAGTGGCAGCCTTGGCTCTGCCATGAGGTCTGTGCATGTTGTGTAACACTGACTCGGATGCTGCACGGCAAATGGGAAGGGGCTCTGGCAGCGGCGCCACCAATAAACCAGAGAAGCATTGAAATTTTCGATTTTCCACACACAGACAGCGAGACACAAAGGCGAGCGAAGCTCGACCCACTCCAACCCCCAAAGGCATCCATCCCCCAGCCTGCCTGCCCCACAATGGGCATGACATTGAAACGTGACGCATACCACCCCGAAAGTCATCCCTTCTTGACACCCCCAAAGTGGCTGAGGTCATGCTGCCAGGAACATTTGTCAGTCTGTGCCGAGTGCTTGTAGGATGCTGCAACGCAACCTTTGAATCATTGGCCTGGGACGGCTTTCATTTCGAAACCATTTGTTATAGTAACACATAGACTACATTTTTGTGGGGCAGTGTAGACACTTGGGAAATGATCAACAAAAGGCAAGTCGTTCTTGCTGTCAGAACTTTGGATTTTTATACCCTTTTGAAGTGGGTATTATAATTTTGCCAAAGTATTTCCGGCCGCATAGATCAACACCAATACCTTCCGTAACTTACCCGCATGGTTAAGGGATATATTAGTTTTGTGTAACAGCCAGAAGGAAGAGTTTTCGACCCCATAAAGTATATATATTCTGGATCAGCATCAATAGCCAAGGTGATACAACCATGTCTATCGGACGGACGGGCAGTACTGTTTTTTTTTTTTTTAATTTAGGTCTTTGTTAAACTCAAACATAGCTATATAATCTGGCAATATTATTTTATTTCACACAAAAAAATACAATAATATGTTAATATTGTAAGAGATATGTAAATACCATACAAATGATCGGCTTTGAAGATTTGGCTCGCACGAGCTTCAGTATTGGTTGAATTGATACCCGGATGAGACAGTTATAGTTTCTATTGTTCTATATTTTTGTCGAGCAGTGTATCTCGAAGAGTGAGTAACACCATAAAGTTCAGTTCTCAATGTTATCAGCACTTTGAATTGCTCCTTCATTGACTGTGCGATAAGACTGTACATTTTGTAAAATACTTTAGCAAATGAACAAGCTACCAGCCGACTAAGGGGTTGGCTGGAGTGGCTAGACAACAACATACTCCTCATATTGAGTTAGGACCCTCCGCCTGGACCTCTGCAACGCCTCGTGTCCCAGGGTGAGGCAGACGGGATCCTCCTTGAAGACGCCCTGCTCCTGCAGCACAGCATGTGGGGCACAGCGCCAGGGATCCTTGGTGTCCACCTGCCACTGGTAGAGCTGCTGGCGCAGCTGCTTGAGGATGCCACTGTACTTGGGCTTGTCCACCAGGTTGTTCCGTTCCAAGGCATCTACTTTGATGTCGTAGAGCTCCCACTCGGGTCGCTGGTAATACTGCAGAAGGGAGCGATACCAGGGGAGGGGCTGTTTGTTGATTGTGGCGTTCAGGATCTGCTGGAATGTGGGCGAGGTGTAAAAGTCCTGGTCGATGGGGAAGTCCGCCCAGTAGTTGAGGTTGTGGATCAGCTTGTAGCGCCTGTTGCGCACCATTCTCATGGGGTAGGCCATGGTGACCTCGTGGTAGCTCTGGCTCCCGAAGACCGAATCGCTCTCCTTCGCTGACGGCTCCTCCTTCAGGACAGGCAGTAGGGATTTTCCGCTGAACTTGGTACCATTTGGTGCCGGCAGCTGGAGGGCGTCCAGCACACTGGGATATATGTCCAAGAGACTAGCCATGGCAGCCGTTGTCTCATGATGGCGATCATCCTTCTGTGGCGAACTGAGGATCAGCGGCGATCGTATGCCATGCTCGTAGAGATTGGTCCGTCCTCCGGGGAAAGGTGGTCCATTGTCAGAGGTGTAGATGATCAGCGTTTGGTCGGCAAGGCCCGAAGCCTCCAGCTCGCGGAGCAGCAGGCCCACGCCTTGATCCAATCTCGAGATGGTCATGTACTGGGCGGCCAGCTCCTTACGCACAACGTCCGTGTCCGGAAGCCAGGCGGGCACCTCCAGATTGCGCCAGTCGTAGTAGATGGGCTTCCAGTCGGGAATGCTGCCCATTCCCTCCTCCCCGCTACCCCAGCGCTCGCAAAACTCCCCAAACTGCGGAGTTATGTGGCCACAACGATGTGGATCGTGGAACCCGACCATCAGGAAGAAGGGCCTCTTCTCATCCTTGGCCTGTGTGAGGAAATCCCGCGCATATCCCTTGATCTTGGTGATGTTCCGTCCAATCTGGTTGATCGAGTGCTGCTCCTCCGTCTGCTCGAAGTCGAAGTGGAAGTTGGCGGCGGCTCCCACATGCTTCTTTCCAATTATGCCGCTGAGGATGCGACCGTTGCTCTGCTCCCGCAGCACGTTGGGCAGCGACCCAACCTCGGGCAGCACATTGAAGTTGTGCACTCCCTGATGGAGTCCGTACATGCCACTCGCGTGGCTGGCCTGTCCAGTCAGTAGCTGGGCACGGCTGGGACTGCAGCTGCTCACCGATGTGAAGGCGTTGTTAAATAGCAGACCGCGTCGGGCCAGGGCATCCAGATTGGGCGTCTGGCAGAACTTGTTCAGGTAGGCCCCCATCTCGAAGCCAGCGTCATCAGCCAGCAAAAGCAGGACATTCTTCGGTTCTGCCGCCTGGGAATAGGTTCCACCTATCACTAGGATCACCAACACTGCGATGAACAGCCTCATGACAAATTTTCCAATTCCGAACTCGAATCTCAGCAAATTGAAGACCACTAGGCAATCCTATGGACGTCGTCACCGCACTGAGGCCAGGCCCAAATGATTCCAATACCTTTTATGCATTCTCAGCAAAATCTTTGCCTGTTTGTATGTTCTCACATTTCTCCGGCTCGCTCACTTCCAGTTCCAATCGCATTCAATTCCAGTTTTAATCTTTCGCCCTCTCACAGCACGGGCTCAGCGGGAGCATGGCACGGCTTACTAATACAGTTGTCTAGGTGTGTACATTCACTTTGTTCGACTTTCTTTCAGAGCGGTTTGACTACAGTGCACACCCTTTACAAACTACTGCCTGTGAAACTTTTCAGAAGGTGAACATAATAATTTCTTAAACTTACCTAAACTTAATAATTTCTACATACTTTTGGAATGTATTTTGATAGATACAACCCAGGGACCGTTAATAATAATTAATTTGTATTTTTAAGCGAAAAATCATCAAAAATATATATACATACATATCTTCACCAAATTGTGCAAAATTTACGTTTTACTGATATTTTTTGGTGTTAATAATTATTTTGTTATTTTGTATTATATATTATTAATAAGAACTATTTTTAAGCAAAGAATATAGAACTGCAAAATAATGATAATTAAATTTATTTTTAATTTTTAATATAAAAAAAGATTGCCACATATTTGGAAGGTTTATTTATTTTTGTAACTCTAAATTTGTTTAGTGTGTTAGCCTCTTCTCAGCTCCAAATGATCCTTAACATTATTAAACAAGTATTAAAAATTGTTAAATCAAATTTTGAAAGGGCTATTTTTCAGAAGAAACTAACTTAAAATAACAGAAGTTATCTTTTGGGTTTTTTTTTCATCGAAACAGATTACCTTTATTTATTTATTTGTTTAATTAACAAACATCTGCCAAAAAGAACTTAAATAGTTAAACTAGGGAGAAAAAAATTGTATAAATGAAACGAAATACATATGTATGTACATACATATGTGCAATAAATAATAGATTATATACAAATATAATTATTATTTTAATGTTATTAAAAAATATATAAAAAATAGAATAGAAAATAGATATACGATTATTTAGGTACAAACAAATATAGTCGATGAAAAATTTTCCTCATTGACATTT